GTTGATTACATTTGCAAATCAAACAACAGGACTAATGGCTCAGTAAATGAAGTGCATGGGAAAACCCATAGTAAAGTTTCTGCCAATTGACTTTGAGCGCTGGTTATTTCACAGAGACCTTCATATAGGCAAGAATATGAAAGTAGATGGCATCGCCTTTTCCCAAGATAGTTTGCTAATTTCCCACTCGGCTCCACAGCCCTTGGATTACCTAGTGATCTCCTTCCGGCAAAGTCAGTTAGGTAATCATGGGATCCTCGATCCTATGGTTTTAACTGAATCACTTCACTATCATGAGTAAACAGAATTAATCTTGTCATGTCAAATACTGCATCATACTTTGAATGGGAGGGGATCTCAAATATAGAGATCAGGTAGATGTTCCCAAAAGTTCCTGTATTGTTGTTGTTCAGTCACTAAGTTATGTCCAACTCTCTGCAACCCCATGGACCACAGCATGCCAGGTGCCCTGTCTTCCACTATCTCCCAGAGCTTGCCCAAATTCATGTTCATTGCATCTATGATATTATCTTATTATCTTCTGTTGTCCTCTTCTCCTTTTGCCTTCAACCTTTCCCAGCATCAGGGTATTTTCCAATGAGTCCTCTCTTCTCGTTAGGTGGCCAAAATGTTTCAGCTTCAGTGTCTGTCCATCCAAAAAACAAGTCAGAGTTTATTTCTCTTAGGATTGACTGATTTGACTGGCTCCTTGCAGTCCAAGGACCTCTCCACAGTCTTATCCAACACCACAATTTTAAATCATCAATTATTTGGTGCTCAGCCTTTCTTATACCCCAACTCTCTATGGTTAATGAATTCTAAGCAATGTAACTTAGTTGTAAATCCCATTCAGTTCAAAGGCTTTAATTCCTGATAAGTTGCCTATGCCCTGTTACCTGGAAAAAACTCATATTAAAATGAGTGAGATTTATGCCTCAAGAATACATTGAAGCACAAAATAGCCTACCTCATTTCAAACAAATTTGGCATAATAAATTAATCCAATCCATCTAAGCTTGAGGAATAAAGCTGTATTTGACATTTATTGAGTCACCAAATGTCAGGTGTGAAGAATTAGGACCACACATTCAAATTTAATTAAGCTGATTTATTGCTCATGCCTATATACAATAACACTTATATACCACTTCATAGGGCTTTACAGACATCTCTAAGTAGTTCACATAGTCATATGGCCCCTAACAATCTGGGTCCTCATTTTACCAATCTTGGAAAGATGGAAGGCTGAGTCAACCTTGAGCCGCTCAGAATCGAACTCCTGGAGTCAGCAGTGAGTTAGTCTTGCAGTACTGCATTTTAACCACTGTGCCACCATGGCTCTAGAATAGTGGCTCAACATGAGTAACTGTAAGAGGGATGTAAGAGTCCTAGGGAACAATCACTTTCATATGAGCCAGCAATGTGCTTCTGCTGCCAAAAAAAGCCACTGCAGTTCTAGATTGAATTAAGAAAGGAATAGTATCAAGATCACTTGAAGCATTAGTATCTCTATATACTACACTGGTGAAACTACTCTTAGAATATTTCATACAGTTCTGGTCAACACCAGAAAAAAAAAGGTGTTGAGACTCTAGAAAGGGTGCAGACAAGAACAATAAAGATGATTAGGTGGCTAAAGGCTATGAGGAATGACTGCAGGAACTGGATATGTCTAGTCTAACAAAGAGAAAGATGGGGATGACATGATAGCAGTCTTCCAATATTTGAGGGGCTGCCACAAAGAAGAGGGGGTCATCTTATTGTCCAAAGCATCTGAGGGCAAGAGAAGAAGGAATAGATGGAAACTTATCAAAGAGAAATCCAACCTAGAACCAAGGAGAAATTTCCTGACAGTGAGAACAATTAATCAGTGGAACGCCTTGCCTTCAGAAGTTGTGGGTGCTCCATCACTGGAGAGATTTTGCAGCAATTTGTCTAGAATGACATATGGTCTTCTGCTTGGGCAGGGGTTTGGGCTAAAAGACCTCCAAGGTCCCTTCCAATTCTGTTATTCTGTTAATAATAACTGTTATCCCAAAGGTGCTTTTTCAAAAGGCAACTGGGCTTTGTTTTTCCTTGATGACATTTCGCTTTTCATCCAAGAAGCTTCTTCAGCTCTGGTGGATGAGAAGCAAAATGTCTTCAAAGAAAGACAAAGTCAAGTTGCCTTTTGAAAAAGCAATTTTGGGACAACCATGACCTGTATGAGTGAGAATCTCCATAAACATTTAATAACAGTTACTTTTTCCTGACTAGGTTGGAGGCCTGCTCATACACACAAGCTTCATTATAGTTTAATTACATGACTGTGAGCTGCAGCTACCCAACAAAACGTTTGCAGCTTCTCTTCCATGATCCCACTGTTTCTTCTGTCAGGGTGTCCCCTCAGCATCATTTTGTGACCTGCTCTGATTTTTAAACACCCCTAGCACCCTGAGAAAATCCTGAGAGAACATATAAGTTGGAAACACAGAGAACAACAACCTTATGTTGAAAATCACCATTCCACATCCCAAAATGGAGGCATGAGCTTCTGTCCTTTACCCTCCAGTCCCCTGATCTGAGAAACACAGTAACTTCTACAGTCATCACTATGAGACTTTATCTCATATTGCTCATTGTTTGTAGAAAAAATCCCATTAAAAAGCCATCTAACCCCCAGCATTTATATTTCAAAATCACCCTATTCTCAGGCATCTTTAATTATTCATCCCTGCCAATTAAAGTTATGATCAGTTTCCACTCACATTGCAACCAAATAATAATCTACATTCTATGCTTTGCATCAAAACACTGAAGTAACCTAATATTGTACTAGACAATACTCCATTGTGGTAAAATGCTGGAAGTTATGTTGTTTTATTAATAAGAAAGGATAGAGAAGGAACAAACAAGTCAATACAAATCAAATGAAGATAAATATACTGTATGTGACTTGGGGTAATGTTGCAGATCCAATCTAGGTCGGTCACTGGGACTAGAGGCTTGTCTTTTGAGCTTTCAGACTCATGCTGGAGCCCATCTTCAGGGAATTTCTCCCTCATTAGAATGTATAATACAAATATACAAAAATAAATTATTCATGTCATGAGCATTAGCAACAACACTTAGCAATAGCACTTAGACTCTTTACAATGCTTTACAGCCCCTTCTAAGCAGTTTACAGTCAGCATATTGCCCCCACCAATCTGGGTCCTCACTTTATAGACCTCGGAAGGAAGGAAGGCTGAGTCAACCTTGGGCCTGGTGAGATTTGAACTGACAATTGCAGGCAACTGGCAGTCAGCAGAAGTAGCCTGCAGTACTGTACTCTAACCACTGCACCACCGTGGCTCATACAAATTATATAGACAAATAACTGTTGTGAATAGCTGGCAGCAGGTGCAGATGGCTGAGGAGAGCGAGGACTCAGATGAGGGGCCAAGACCATTAGGGAGTGGACTGCTGCCTTCAGAGATTGTGGGGGCTGGCATCAGCAATGAGGAGGTTCCCGAGGAGCCTGTGCCAAGTGTGCATGCGCACAGGATTGCTCACAGGAAAGAGCAACAACAGCACGGGCAACTCGGGAGTAAGGCTGCAAGGTAATGGTCCCTCCTTCAAGAAGATAAAAGCCAGCTGTGAAGTGAACGCTCTTTGTAGGAAGCAAAGACGTTTTGAAACTCAGCCTTGTGGACATTACAATATCTTAAGTTAGTATTTGAAGACTCTTGTGTTGTGAAATATTTCTTATCTGTGATTCTTGGCATTCCTGTACAGTTTTGGCAAGGTTTGTGTTTATCAAAGTTAATGAGTTTGCAGCAGCCTTTTAACCAGGAATTTGTAAGATTCATTAAAAAGTTTCTGTTCCCTTTGGTTATTGTTTGTCTTATTGGAAAAGGGTTTGGGTCAGAACAATAACAGTCAAGATTGAGCAAGTAAAATAGGTACAAAATAGATTATAAAATATGTAAAATAAGTAGGATTAAACTAAATGACATTTGCCCAGTATCAGGCTGCAACAACAGCATTTTCTTTCACCAATATGTGGTCTCCACACATGTTGAAGGACATTGTATGCAACCTAGCATATGTGAGGCAGGTTGTTCTCCATATTCACACACAAAATTGATGCTCAATACAATGATATTTATAGTTAATATAAATATCACTGTATTTAACTGTCATTTTTGCAAAGTGTTTTCAAAGGCTGCTCCACATCTGTGATAAATGGCATTATTTGGAGTGGCCCAACTTACTATAAATTTATCAGGTGGGGTTCTTCTTGAGAACAGAACATTCTAAAGAGGTTTATTCTAAATTTCTCACAAAATTGCCATTTTAACAATTTGAGTGGTATTAGCTGAACTCTAATGGAATATTATTCCATTACAGGGAGATCATACTCAATGATGGAAACATTTGACCAAGTACCTGGATCTTGTCATAAATATTACAATATTACCCAGATTTATGCTTGTTGCTACTACAAACTTTATATTTTACTATTTAATCAATCAATCAAACTTTTATTGTCAATGCACAACATGTGTACAATGAAATTGAAAATTACTAAAAGATACTGTATTTTTTCTAGTCAAAGTATAGTCAGCCAAGAAATGTGTAGTTTTTTCTCATTTTATTAAAGACTGGGTAACTTATTGTTTTCATGGCCTGTTCAGTTTTCCAATGAGCAAATAAAGTTTATTCCCAATTAAAGGTGTTTTGCAGTCAGGTCAGCTGCAGAAAATTCCATGCTATTCTTGTTGTGGTGTCGGTGATAAGATTCAGATGGGTTCATGGTTGAAAACTGCACCCCCTGGGCATATTTGTCCTTTCATCTGATTTGGCCAACCATTTGTTTTCTCTCTGTAACTTGTCAAGTTTCCATATTTGTGACACCTAAAATGATTGGAGAAGAACATTTTGAGATACAAGGCATCTAAAAAAAGCAAGACTGTCAAACTATCACTGTGCATCCAGGGTCAAAAATGACCTGTTGTCCATCCCTCTTTCTTTGCCAGTGTTTGGACAGAAGAGACTCAGTGCACACTCCTCAACATCTCCATCACGGAAACCTTTAACTGCTCGTTCAGCTGTGGCCCGGAGTGCTCGAAAAACTCTCAATACCCCTGCTTACAAGTCTATGTCAATGTTTCCTCTTCAGGGCAAAAGTACCTACTTTACCACACAGAAGAGACCATCAAGATTAATTCTGAGGTAAGAACATCATCCATATGGGAGGGATGAGATTCGGGGTGTTTCATTTTTTTTGAGCCATTGCTGTCCAGATTCATGATTGTCCTACATGCAATTTAATCCCTAGCACTGTTTATTTTATTTCCAATTGAAAGTTCTAGTCCTCTTGGCTTTATACACCATGAAAGATAGAGAAAGCATATAATATCTGGGCTGCAAAACCCCAATCAACCATTGAGTGACACCAGTGTTAGAGCTTTCTGTATTCCTTTGTGGTGATTTGGTGGTTTCCCCAAAGGGTAGCATTAAATATCTGGGTGTTCTCTGAAGCTTGGATGTTTTCTTGTGGACATTTCATTGTGATGATGTTACCTAGTCAGGGATGTCAAACTGGATTTCTTCTATGGACAGATCAGCATTGTAATTCTCCTCCATGGGCCAAGGGGAAAGAGGTGGTATTCAGCAGGTTCTGACCAGTTCTGGAGAACCGGTAGCGGAAATTTTGAGTAGTTCGGAGAACCAGCAAATACCTCCTCTGACTGGAGATTTTACAATATCCTTCCCCTGCCACGCCCACCAAGCCACGCCCACAGAACCGGTAGTAAAATAATTTGAATCCCATCTCTGAGGGGAGATCGTCCAGCTGCCTAGTAGGCCTCTGGTAGCACTTTGCTGGCCAAAACGGGCCATGCAGGGGCCACATGCAGCCCCCCCCCGTGCCCCATTTTGACTGGCAAAGTGCTGTTGGAGGCAATTCAGGCCAAAATGGCCTGCACGGGCCACACGCAGCCCCCCTGTGCCCCATTTTGACTGCCAGAGGCACCATGGGCCTATCCTTTGCTATTTCCACAGTGGCCCTGTGGGCCAGATTTAAGCAGCCTGTGGGCCGGATGCGGCCCGCAGGCTTTGAGTTTGACACCCCTGATATAGCATGTAAAAGTATAGACAGCCTCATCCTAGAGATTTAGACTAGATGGTATTCCAGAAATATACAAGAAAAGAATGGGAAAAGGTCTTCCATAGAGAGTGTGGATACATATCAGAGGTGGTATTCAGCACGTTCTGACCAGTTCTGGAGAACCGGTAGGGGAAATTTTGAGTAGTTTGGAGAACTAGCAAATCCCACCTCTGGCTGGCCCCGCCCCCATCTATTCTCTGCCTCCCTAGTCCCAGCTGATTGGCTGGGTCTTCTTTTGTTGCCCTGCACAGGAGAACGGAGCTGGAAAGCAGGTTAGTGGGGTGGGGAGGGAATGGGATTTTGCAGTATCCTTTCCCTGCCACACCCATCAAGCCACGCCATGCCCACCAAGCCACACCATGCCCACCAAGCAATGCCCACAGAAACGGTAGTAAAAAAAAAAATGAATCCCACCACTGATACATACATTGCACCACTGAACCCTTTAACCCATCTTTTTTTTCTGGGCTCACACAACTTTTGATTCAAGGAAGTACCCAGAGAAATCATCTTTTCATCTTTAAATCACATGCCATCCCTAATATAACATACCCTAATAATATAGGCTTGTTCATTTTTTAAAAAATCCAAAAATAAAAAACTGTCTTCTATAATCACTTACATAACCTTGCAGCAAAGTCCCCCCCTTTGCAAACCCAGACAGGGGCACATGCATCACACTAAATTATGAATACTTCATTAGATTTCAGCTTCATGTATTTTGTGAAACAAGTCCATTATAGTTTATAAACCATAAGTAACCTAGATTGATGTATGGGGCAGAGCCACTGTGGTTTATTCCACAGAGCATGATTAAGCAAACCGTTAGAGTGAGACATGAAAGGAAGGCTAAGCTGATTCAAATAAATTTGGTAAATGCTTTACACAAACTCAGATCAATGCCTTGTCCAGCTCATAAGTGCCTTTAGGTGGACCGGCAACACTTCAGCAGAGCTGATGTCCATTCAAGGATGCTAGATGCAGGCTAAGAACATTTTTAACTCAAAAAAACAGCCTTGAGAATAGGGGCTACAGCTCCTCTTCCTTTTATGCTGAAAATATAATGGAAGTGACAAATGCAGAATTTCACACTTTCAATGGACTGCTATGTAATAATATTCTCCACGTCACACTTCCAGTCTGGTATTCGCCGTTTTTCCTCCAGATGGCCATTTGTCTTTTTGTGCATGTGTAAAGGGGCACTGGAGGTCCTTTGATTTTGCACGGATGGCATTCAGCTAAACTATCTGTTCATTATCTGCTTTCAGTCACACAATGATGCAAAAAGTCCTTGCTACATAGACAGTTAATTGCCTGAGATGGGGCAAAATCGGAAGCCCGGTCCCTGTGATTGTCAGCAGATGTATAATTGCTGCTGCCAAGCATAAAGATTTGTGCATCGGTCTGGTGCTATTTTGCTTCTTTGTGAGACGTTGTTGGCATACACAAAAAGACACCAGTTCTAGTTCAGCAATCACTCTGTGAGCTGGGAAAAGCTGATAGCTTTCGAATTCAAATTTCTTAACAACCGATTCTGTGGCCGTGGACTAATTTGTGGGTGTGGCTTGGCGGTCATGTGACTGGTTGGGTGTGGCTTGTATGTAAACATTGTAAATATATATGTAAAGATTGAATTTTTTATTTTAAAAAAAGAGCAACTTTTACCCCAAATCAGGCAAAGCAGGCAGGCGGATTGAGCTACTTGCAGAATCACAGCTTCACTCCCAGATCTACTTTTCTGCAATCTGCTGCCTGAGTCTGCACTGAAAAATAGAAGCTTCAATCCTAAGAAAGGTTCAGCTCTGCTCTCAAGCCACTTCTCCTTCCCCCAACCCCCTGAATACCACCCTTGACTGGGCCTCAGGAAAGCCTCCTGGGCGGGGTGGGTGGGAAGAGGGGAGCCAGCCAGTGGTGCGATTTGCCGGTTCTCTGAACTGCACAGAATCGTAACAACCGGTTCTATAGAACTAGTCCAAACTGGTAGAAACCCACCCCTGGGCTAATGGTCCAAGCACACCAGGGTTCTCAGTGTCTCTGGTCATGTGGTATTATGGTCACGGCTGTCTTCTCCACATAGTGCTCTTCAGATGAGTTGCATTACAATCTCTACCATTCTTGACCAGCCTAGGCTGATGAATCGCAGAAGTTATAGGCCTAGCATGGTGCTTCTCAACCTCAGCAACTTTAAGGTATGTGGACTTCAAGTCCCAAAATTCCCCTGGCCAGCATGGTGGTGACGCACACTTAGGAGGCCCTAAGAGAATTTGAGAAATTTCTGCTGTCCTTTCCATTGCCCCCAGCTTCTGCTGCTGACCCTCCACACACCCAATGCTTCTGCCTAGTTGTAAGACAGATCCAAATTCTCCATGAGAACGAAAAGAAAGAATGAAGTTAAATTCTAGAAATGGCAGGTAGTGTGGAGAAAGCTAGACTAACCTTTAGTAGCACAATACAGGGGTGGGATTCTATAGGTTCCCACCTATTCGCTTGAACCAGTTGTTAACATTCTAAGCAGTTCGGAGAACCGGTTGTTAGAAGAAATTATTGGCCTAATCCTGTAAGGAAGGCAGGAAGGAAACATTCTGGTGTTGCTTACAGAAACTGCCTCTCCGTTAACCCTTATTACATTCTTGGCAGGACAAGACTTCCTGCCTCAGGAATATCTCTGGAGTTTTTTTTTCCCTTCCTTTGCTGGTACTTTGCTTGTGTGGAGTGACCATTCAAAGTTACAATGGCACTGAAAAAAGTGACTTATGACCATTTTTCACACTTACAACTGTGGCAGCATCCACACAGTCATGAGAGGCCAGGCGAGGAGATGCGTGCCTCAATGCGAGTGATATTGAGTTGGCCACACCCAGCCAATAACATGACCACCAAGCCACACCCACCAACTAAGCCACACCCACAGAACCGGTTTGTCAAAAAAATTGAATCCCACCCCTGGAACAATAGGTTACTGTTCTGATCCAATTTTCCAAACACGATAAACCTTCTGAAGTGAACTCAAAGATTCTTTTAATTAGGAGTGCCAGCAGCGCCCCACAAAAAGTGTCTCTCTCACCACAGGGTAACAACAAGTCCATCTGATTAGGAAATGAACAGTTGTCTGCCTCATCTATTCATCTCCGTCCCCTGCCTTTGTATCCCCAGAGATAGGGTGGGGATTCACTCGCAGTGGTGGGTCTTTCATCCCAAGGACTGGCACACAGATTTCCACTGCTCTCCTCTCCTCTGCCTTCTGCACATCTGCGCATCAGGCACTGGACCCAGCTGTTCCTCCTCTATCTCATTAGCCACCTCCAGCCCTGGGGGCTGTTGACTCTCCATCTGAGGGCTGACGAATGGCCCAGTTCCACCTCTCTCTCTCTCTCTCTCTCTCTCTCTCTCTGTCAGCTCCACTCCAGGGGTGGGATTCAAATTTTTTAACAACCAGTCCTGTGGGCGTGGCTAGGTGGGCATAGCCATGTGACTGGGTGGGTGTGGCTTCTCCTTTTTTTGCATCACCCTCCCAGTTTTAGGGGTTTTTTTGTCTCCTGGGCTTCAGGGAAGCCTCCTGGGGGGGCGTGTTTTGCTCCCAGGAAGCTTCCCTGGGGCCCAGGAAGGCAAAAAAAAACCCAGAGCACTGTGGGAAGGGGGCACAGCCCACACACACACACCCCTTTTTGCCTCCTGGGCCTCAGGGAAGCTCTCTAGGAGCAAAAACGCCTCCCCAGGAGGCTTCCCTGAGGCCCAGGAGGCAAAAACGGACAAAGCAGTAAAATAGCGAGGGGGATCCCGGCACAGCTGATCATCAGAACAGCTGATCGTTGGGAGGGGAAAAAATACAAAACGCAGTCAGCAATGTCGTGCATGCATGATAAGGACTGACTGGGCGGGGAGGGGAGGGGAGGGTGGAGAGGGGTTGGGCCAACCAGGGGTACGATTTGCTGGTTCTCCGAACTGCACAGAATCATGACAACTGGTTCTATAGAACCTGTCTGAACTGGTAGAATCCCACCCCTGCTCCACTTCCTCTTCCCGCTCAGAGCTCCCAGATCGCCCCGATGCTGACCCTAACTCC